TATATATATATATATATATATATATATATATACACATATATATATATACATATATACGTATTAGCATCAATTTTAGGGGGGTTGTGCAGTTTAATTTACAGAATTTCTACAAAGCACGTTGTATGCTCTAAACTCGCATACTTGTTTGGTCACATCCATAACACATCTTTATTTTCATTAAAAGTACAAAACATGTTTACAGATTGATATTTTTCTGATCCCACAACTCTGTGGTTAGTTGTTCTGTAAAATATAAACAGATGTTTCAATATATGTTCACAAGTACTTACCATGTTAATTTATGTTTTGAGTTTTTACTTCAATTGTCACATCCATAACACTGGAATTGCTCATTTGCATGCTACATAGGCTCAATTGATTGTCGGTAACCCTTTCAAACGATAGACCTCATCAATGACCGATTGAATGTGGACATTTAAAGGATAAGTCAATGGTAACCTTTTAACTATTTTGTCTAAAATGAATGTTGTCATACACAGTGAAACTATTTAATAGGCTACTCTTTTATTTTTGATCATATAGTTAACAGCAATACATTTTTCACAATTGAATGTTTAACTTTTATTTCACTTATAATTGTTATAAGTGAAATAAAACTTACTCAACTTACAATTTAACAAAGCTGGCGTGCGTTTTCGAATACCATCATTATGGAACTAAGGTTGCAAGTTCGCCTGTGTGTGTAGCTTTTAGCATAGAATATTAACAGAATTAATGTTTATGCATTAAATAAAATATCCACAATACCCTGGAGAAAAAAAACACACTAAAATAATGGATTATGCATGCTAATGCAAAAAAAAAGAAAAGTTTGCAGTATTTATTTAACAAAAGAAAGTATATTTTCAATATATTCAATACAAAAAAATCAACTATAAAATTTCAAAAATGTATATAGTTTGGACAAGATTCAGAGTAAAATGTAAGACATTGTAAAAATAGTTCTGTAGGCCTGTATATCTTTATAAACAGTGTATGAACTTGAATGGCAGCTGTTGTTTTTGATCTAACAGCTTCAAAACTACACGCTGAATGCTGTGAGTTTGTCTCAGGATGATGTCACATGGAGGGGAACCAGATATTTACCTAGTGAAACTAAAACATGTAATAGTAATTGGTACTTTTTACCCAAGTACATATTTTAGGCCATACTTCTTTACTTTTACTTAAGTACAAAAGTCTAGTCAGTACTTCAACATTTACCAGAATCATTTTAAACATGAGTATCTGTACTTCTACTTGAGTAAAGGATGTATGTACTTTTGCCATCTCTGCTTATTATGAAAAAAACAACCTATGCTGGATATTAAAATGGATTCAGTCAGTGTTTTCGCTTTGTAATCTAAATTTGTACTGTATTGTATTTTTTATTTAGTTTATTCTGTTTATCTATACAATCCTGAAAGTTTCACAAGCAAAATAAACAATAATGTAAAAATGTCCGGAGATGAAGGTAATAACCACATCACCACATTACAGAAATAATGAGACGTCAACCCCAGTGATGGGGTTGTCGTCCCACCCCTAGCTCCACCTTCTTTTAAAAAGAGCACAATCTTATTCAAATTTAAAGTGACAGTCACCAAAATGGCACAATTTGGATCAAAGCCTAAAAGGTGCAGTTTCAAACATATTTCTGTGTGTATTTTGAGCTGATGCTTCCCTAACACTCCAGGGACATCAGAGACTTATTTTACATCTTGTAAAAAGGGTCATTATATAGGTCTCCTTTACCATTTACTGTATCCTTTAACATGTACTGTATTTATAACAAATAAAGTCTACATACATACTCACACATTTGGCAATACTATGTTCAATTCAAGCATTGCGTGAGCAGGGTGTGAGCAGAGCGTAAGCAGCGCATGCTTTTTCAACGTCCATGTTAACAGATTGGAGCTTTCATACTGCACGCAGAAGCAGCGCGTCAACACGTGACATAAGCGTCGCTGAAGCAGCAGTGCCGGCGCTGTAGTTTTGGTGCTGGGTCTATTTTTGCCGCGCTGCTTACGCTCAATTAAAGTGACAGTGTATTGATAATGACCAAAAACACATTGAATGACAGTAAAAAGTAGCAATTTTACCCAATAAATGCATCAGTAATCTCTACTGACCTATATATAGTCAATAAAATGAACGTAAACGATTAAAAATGGCAAAAAATATATATTTTGGCCCAAACTATAAAGCCAAATGTAAAACAACTTTAGTATTAGTTTTGCTAAGTAAGTTTTAAACATATTTCTGTGTGTATTTTAAGCTGATGTTTTCCTAACACTTTAGGGACATGAGAGACTTATTTTACATCTTGTAAAAAGGGGCATAATGTAGGTCTCCTTTAACATGTACTGTCTCGTTTAACATGTCCTGCAGCTATCACAAATAAAGTCTACATATATCCTTGCACGTGGGTGATACTGCTTGATGTGTTCATTTCAATTTGAAAAACACCCACAGATGTTTGCACGTTCTCCTCCTGATGGAATTCTCATCAAAAACTAATCAGTACCTCTCAGAAGAGAACCAATTACGGGCTGGATAATTATTGCTAATTCTGAAAGCGAAAACCATGAACAGAATAAGGGGGGAAAGAACAAAGTGACAGCTGCTGTCATCTAATGCTTTTTACAAATGCAAAGACATGCGAAGTTGTGTTACAAAAGGAAGTATCATTTTAAGCCATTGCTATACCAAAATATTTAAAGATGCAGTGAAGGAGTAGGTTTTAAGCATTGAAGTGCAAGGTCATTTCCCTTTGTTGGGTTGTTCCAAATGAAAATGAACCATACTGCTACAGTTTTACAAGTAATTAAGTTTTTATTGGATCTTTCATGTTTAATGTTTAAATTAATTAGGCTCTCATGATTTTGCTGTTTTGAAAGTTTTATTTATTTATTATAAGGTCTGTAGTATAGATTTTGTCACAATCACCACCGATCTAATCCTTAAGCTTGTTTCACACTGCAAGCGCAAGCAGCACGTGAGCAGAGCGTGAGCAGCGAATGCTTTTTCAGCATCCATGTTAACAGTTTGGAGCTTTCATACAGCACGCAGAAGCACGCTCAATTAAAGTGATAATGACCAAAAACAGATTGAATGACAGTAAAAAGTAGCAATTTTACCCAATAAATGCAACAGTAATATCTACTGACTTATATATAGTCAATCAAATGAACTTAAACAATTAAAAACTGCTACAAACATATATTTTGTTCCAAAATATAAACCAAATGTAAAACACTTTAGTATTAGTTTTGCTTAGTAAGTTGTACTAGTTTGATAAGGTATAAATATCATTATAACTATATTGTATAAATAGTGTTATAACTATAAGCCTACAACATCCTGATAATCAAAAACAACATGTTATGATATCACAGGCGATTGTCTTCTGACCGAGTGCACCTGAAAAGACATGAATGACACTCATAGAGCGTGAAACAGTCCTTTAGGGGGTAACTATCCTTTATAACTAGTAAATAGTTCATTAATAAAGTGTTAGTTAATGAGTTGTAAATGACTTGTTAAATAATAGTTATTAGTTTGTCAATGATTTATAACTGTGCCTTATAGATAGCCAATAGGTAACTTACAAGCTGTTAGTTAACAAGTTCTAAATGACTTGTTAACTGTATTTTAATGATTTATAACTGAACCTAATAAATTAGTAATTGATCACGAAATAGCTGTTTGTAAAGTACTTACTAAAGGATTGATAAGTATCAGTTAATAGTTTATATATCTTATTTGGGTGTTATTCTAAAATTGGAACTAGTCTTAATTTATTAACTGTTAGTAAATGAGGAATAATTGGAACTTTAGAATAACTTCCCAATAACATACATAAGCTAATAACTAACACTTAACTAAGTGTTAGTTATTAGCTTATCAGCAGATATATATATATATATATATGTGTGTCCACGTTACACCTCTAATAAAAAAATAATAATTATATATATATATATATATATACACACACACACACATACACACACACACACACACACACACACACACACACACATATATATACACACTGAACATTTTACTTTGCGTTTTCAATAAATCTGTAAAACAATAGTCATTTTACACTATATCATTTCAAACAACTAAAAAAAATGTTAAGCCCCTTTGTTAACTTAATTTAAACTTTCCAAATCATTCACAAAATAAATAACAACTGTATATTACCTTCAAGGTCATCATAGTAAGTCACAACGTCAAGTCTCCCACCGAGTTTTGTGGCTGTTGAAATAAACAACAGTACGCAAGCGGCATTATTAACACAAAATTGAACTAATAATAATAATAATAATAATAATAATAATAATAATAATAATACAGCCAATGCATGAAAACTCTGGGTAATATTTACTAACAGCTTGCAAGAGCACAATCTCTGCAAATTATTATTGTTATTTTATTTTTTGCATGGTCTGCGCATTGCAAGAGGTTCCCATTTAGACACATTGGCAGAGAATATATAAATAAATCATGCAAGAAAAATAAAAATTCAGTACTCAATTGTTATTGGGTATATTGTCAATGCCCAGAAAAAGCATGTCTTAAAGGTGAAGTATGTAAGTTTGTCACCAAGTGGTTGAACTAGGTATTGCATCCATGGTTCAAAACACAAAAGCGCATGCTGCCAGATTGACAACATCAACAGCATGCCTGAGTATCGAGACTGAGGCTGATTTAAATCATGTTCTAAATAAAAGCAATGGCACGTGATACAAGGAATATTTTCTAACCAACACCTGAAATTTATATTTTACAAAGGCTTCTATTTCTTGTAGCTGAACAACAAAAAACTATGTACTCAGGTACACCTCATTTGCTTTACTAAGTGTGTTAAATGCGAATAATGTGAGTTTGATTGCCATTTTACATGACATTTATTGACATACTTCTGAAAGGAGCAGTAGACAGTTTACCTTAACTGAACTTTAGAACAGTGACTTGGTGCAAACCAACACATATCAGTGATTCAGAATATACATCTAATAATGTTAAAGAGGTTTAATATGTATTAATTAGATTATAAACCTTACCATTTCATTGGAGTGCATTGAGTTTATATTATTATATTATTTATATTATTTGCTCATTAATAAACACCTCATGTGGAACTCTGAATCAGTGTCTCATTTTGGAGTCTGCTACTGTCCACCAGAGGTCGCATTTCAGTCATGGAAGCATACGCTGAGAGCCTTTATGCCTGATTGAATGAAATACGTGATTTTCCACCAAGGCAACCCGAGGTGCTGAAATTTAATTGGCTAAACTGGCATTGGGCGGGTTAGAAGGGCCAAATCAAAGACAGACGTTTCAGCACAGAAAGCATATTTTCGAAGCTAAATTAATAAGAATGTCCACTTAGCATGATTCTTAAATTTATGCAAACATATTACGATATTTTTATGTTTTAGAAGAGTCAAGAACTTACATACAGCACCTTCAACCGACTTCTATTTTTTAAATTAATAATTGATATTATTATTAGAAAATACAAGAAAAGGCATGTCTTAATTTTAAATCAATTATTAAATCAATAGTTAATATTGTTGCTGTGGTAGTAATAATAACAGTGATAATAAAATAAATAAATAAATAAATAAATATATAAATGAATAAATAAACTAATAATAATAATAATAATAATAATAATAACAATAATAATAAATATTATTATTGTTATTATTATAATTAATTTTAAAAATAAATAATAATTTATTAAATCATTTGCGGTTTATTTACTTACAAACTAGATCATGCTGCATTATGCCCCTCAGTTTTCGCTTACCATGTAGTCTTTCGAACTCTGTGGGGTCCAGAGCAGCAATGGGCTCAGACATTCTGGATGGTTTGCCGATACCATGCGAGTTGACAGCACGTACGCGAAAATAATAAGAGTGTCCTTCAAACAGGCCCTGCACAGGATATTTGCAGATCTTAACAGGAGAGTCGTTACACTGCACCCAGTTTTCTGTTCCAACTTCACATCTGCCGAACAAGAGTGACAAAAAAAAACATGATCAACAAGGAATAAAGACAGCAAACAACATTATCCAATCATTACATCCACAATGCGCTGAAAGACTCAAAATCACAGCCCACTTTCATATTCCGAGGAGATGATATAAGCTAAGAAGCGTTCATACATAATTGCGGATCCATGCATCGCTTAACCGTCTGATTATCATCTGACAGGAGTAAATTTCAGCTCAATGCTATGGAGCTCAAAGGAACAGAGAACAAACTAATCAGAGACTTAATTAGCATATGCAAAGTAGCCTATGTGTTGGTAAGCAACTTCTAAGTGGCCTTTGCTGAAAGAAACAACATTTTTTTTTTTTTTTATGTTACCAATCATCTATAATTAAGCAACTTTAATGCAGCATTGTCTTAGACAACAGAAAGAACAAACACATACTATACAAGCAAGGTTGTTCAGATTTATACAGGCAAAATAAAGAATAGAGTAAGAAAGCTACTGGGAATTAACTAACTAAGGCTCGTTGTTAATATGTATCCCTGTATATCTTTCTGGAGAGTGTAAAATACATTTCAGGAGGTACGTTTTTTGCAGTTTTTGTTTTTCGCAAATCCGTTCGAGGCCGCTGTGTATGCTTTTTAAAATCTCAAATTTCTTGAGAGTACCATCCATACCTGATGTTCTCGCATAAACACCCAAGAAGTGTTGGGTAAGTTACTTTTTAAAAGTTAGAGATTACAAATTACTGACTACTACTGAAAAATTGTAATCTGATTAAATTATTAATTACTTTAAAAAGTAATCGGATTATTAATTACTTTGAAGTCACTTTTAAAACATAAAATATACCTATAAAAATACAAAATGAACTGTAGCTCTTTCTGTAATTTAATATTGACTGAGAAACATTACAATTGGTTGATCACAGCAGCTTGACATACTCAAAATTCAGAATCAGAAAGAGCTTTATTGCCAGGTATGTTACAGATACAAGGATTTTTTTTTTTTTTTTTGTGACAGAGCTTCAACAGTGCAACAGAGTTACAGAGACAGGACAAAAAAATAGATAATAAATATTTTTAAAAATAGAAGTAAGTAGTGAATGCAAATATACAAATTGACAAAAATTCTTAAAGTTTTCGCCCCAAAACGTAAAATTCTCTCTTCATTCACTTGCTCCAAACCTGTTTGTCTTTTTTTTTTTTAACACAAAAGAAGAAAACTGGATACCTAAAACCATTGACATCCAAAGTATGAAAAAGCACTGCAGTGTTTGCATTTTCTATGTTTGTCTGAGGTAATTAGTCTACCGAAATGTATATATCCCAAAGTAGGAAGCTGATCGGTCAGTTCTTGCCACGCGACTTGTGGTTTTCAATTGAGTACGCCTAGAAAATGTGAATATGCACATGCGCTCCGAATATGCACACGTGCAAAAGAACAGCCCCATAAGTAGCAACGCTGCTCTTCACATTAAGAAGAAACCCTTTCGTTCCTGCACAAAAAAGGTCAATTTAGCCTTTTTAGGCAATAAGTATTGTCCTTGGCAATAAGTATTGTCATAGAATGCTTTCGGTTTTTGCAGACTTTTCAAGTTGCTGGTCAAGTTAAAAGCAGTCAAAAGTTCTTTAGACTTCAATTCACAGCTAATTTTTGTTTTTACGTTCAATGAAATCAAAGTAATGTATGTATTTCTACTTGGTGAATGGTGAAAAGCCTTGGAGTACATTTGATGACCAACTAAACTTCTCTGACCACATCTCTAGAACTGCTCGATCGTGCAGATTCACACTCTATAACATCAGAAAGATCCGACCCTTCTTATCTGAACATGCAGCTCAACTCCTTGTTCAAGCTCTTGTTCTCTCCAAACTGGATTACTGTAACTCTCTACTAGCTGGGCTTCCAGCTAACTCTATCAAGCCTCTTCAACTGCTCCAGAATGCAACAGCACGAGTGGTCTTCAATGAACCTAAACGAGCACATGTCACTCTGCTACTCCGTTTGCACTGGCTGCCAGTTGCTGCTCGCATCAAATTCAAAGCTCTGATGTTTGCCTACAAAGTGACTTCTGGCCTTGCTCCTTCTTATCTGCTCTCGCTTCTGCAGATCTATGTGCCCTCCAGAAACTTGCGTTCTGTGAATGAACGTCGCCTCGTGGTTCCATCCCAAAGGGGGAAGAAATCACTTTCGCTCACGCTCACGCTCACGCTCAATCTGCCCAGTTGGTGGAATGAACTCCCTAACTGCATCAGAACAGCAGAGTCACTCGCTACTTTCAAGAAACGACTAAAAACTCAACTATTTAGTCTCCACTTCACTTCCTAATCTGCAATTGCCTCTCTGAATATCACACTAACTGTACAAAAAAAAAATACTAATACTACTAATACTTCCCTTCTTAGACTTTACAGACCTGAAACTTGCTTATAGCACTTATTCATTGTTGCTCTTGGTTGTGTAAATTGCTTCCTTGTCCTCATTTGTAAGTCGCTTTGGATAAAAGCGTCTGCTAAATGACTAAATGTAAATGTAAATGTACTTGAAGAAGCAGCCACTCAACAGCAACCATTTCAGCTTGCGTTCTCCAGCAATTTAAAAGCGCATGATTATTAACTGACATTGCAGCAGAAAACGTTATCTAAAAGAAGCTTTTTTTCTTCTAAAAACTATAACAACGGAAAAGCCATCCACATGGAAGTAAGCGGTCAGCTGGTAGCACAACAAGAAACAGAAGACGTTGACAGCTTCATAATGCCCTGAGTTCCTTTTAAAGACGAAATGCAGCCATGCGTAGCTTTGGCTACATAATCCGCACTCTCCAGAAATGTATATGGGGGTATGTTTAATATATTTATATACTTTTGATATTTCATCTAATTCAATCCCATCAAGGAATTTTAAAGTGTGAAGTCTCCAAATATTTTATTTGAGACCACGATATCAAGACGGCTTGAAGGAATGTGCACCATAAACCACACACTTTAGTCAGGAAAGTCACCTGTCAACAAAATATCCAATGATAGGGCCTTCAGTGGTGGTGTTAGGAGGTTTCCAGGACACGATGACATAATCTCTGTTAGCGTCATGGATTTTGATGTCCATTGGTGCTCCAGGAGCTCGTGGGACTGGAGGTGGACCATCTGCCAAGACAAAACATGATGACTCCTACACATCACTGATGCGCTGAGGGAATCACTCTGAAATAGACGTATGCACTTTAGAGATTGTGGGAGATTAATTATGCTAATGCAGACCTTTAAAGGCCATCAAAGAAAAAAAAACACAAATGCATAAAGCCTTGAAGAAGTTCACAACTTTTTACCATCAACGTAGACATAAGCCCTGTGGACCGCATCGCCTCCCTTGGTCATCATGCGGAGGGTGTAAAGACCCTCATCATCCTTAGCGAGTTGAGTAAGCGTGAGCTTGGCGACACCTCCCCCAGACTCCATTTTCACCCACTTCGATTCTTTCAGGAGATGCTCTGGAGAGTCCAAAAAAAACAACATGAGGTATCAGAGGAGAGAATATGAAACTATTACTCTTTTTTTTTTTTTGGGTGGAATATACTGCAGATCTGAAGAGAATGTGTAATCTGATTATTCAGGAAATGAGATTGGAGTGAAATGAGTCATAAAGTACAAACGGACATAAAAAGCCATTTCGTTGTGTACGTGACTCAACTGCAAAAGCAACACCTACAAAAACAGGGCGAGTTTAAGAGGTCTATGTCACGGTAATAAATCAGATGCCGCTTTCATTAGGACAGATATATAGGGATATAAAATGCAGGTAAAATTATCAAAAAAATAAATAAAATAAAAATAAAAAAGGGGTGCGCGGTGGCGCAGTGGGTAGCACAATTGACCTCACAGCAAGAAGGTTGCTGGTTTGAGCCTTGGCTGGGTCAGTTGGCGTTTCTGTGTGGAGTTTGTATGTTGGACTGGTGCTCGAGGTTCCCCCACAAGCCAGAAAACATGTGGTACCTTTGATGGGTTGCAGCTGGAAGGGCATCTGCGGCGTAAAACATTTGCTGGATAAGTTGGCGGTTCATTCCACTGTGGCGACCACATTTTAATAAAGGGACTAAGCCAAAAAGAAAATGAATGAATAAATAAAAAATACAAAAACAAACAAAAATAAATAACGTGGCACGGTGGCTCAGTGGTTATCATTGTCGCCTCACAGTAAGAAGTTCGCTGGTTTAAGTCCCGGCTGGGTGAGTTGGCATTTCTGTGTGGGGTTTTCTGTGTGGGGTTTGCATGTTCTGAATGAATGAGTGATGTAGGTTAAGATGAAACTAGACAAGCAAATATTTAGGCATTAAATAATGTCAAAAATGCCATTAATTTGAGGTACACATTAGTGCAGGATTTATTCAAAAAAACTCTCCTCCCATAAAATTTGAAAAGAGAAACTTCAACAAAAGCATATTCAATAAGGCCAGGTTCCAAAATAACAGTATTCACACCTTTTCAGTGCAAGATCTTCACTGCACATGTTTAGTAAATCCTGACAGGACTGTTTTAAAACCAAAAAGACAGTCTGCACTTGCGGAAGCTGCTAGAAAACTGTTTATTTGGCAGCATAAAGGGATTGTTCACCCAAAAGTGAAAATGTATTCTCCCTTCACTCGTCCAAAACAATATATTATAATATAATAATTTATAATATAATAATTTATAATATATAATATAATATAATATAATATAATATAATATAATATAATATAATATAATATAATATAATATAAAAATTTATAATATAATATAACAAAATATAATATAATATAATATACAAATTTATTATATAATATAATAAAATAAAATAAAATTAATATAATGTAATATACTAATTTATAATAAAATAAAATGAAATATAATATAATATAGTATAATATAATATAATATGATATACAAATTTATAATATAATATAACATAACAAAAAATAAAATAAAATAAAATTTAATATAATACAATATACAAATTCATAATATAATAAAATAAAAAATATAATATGCAAATTTCTAATAAAAATAATATAATATAATATAATATAATATAATATAATATAATATAATATAATATAATATAATATAATATAATAATATATAATATATATATATATATATATATATATATATATATATATATATATATATATATATATATAATATAATATAATAAAATCAAATCAATTTAAATCAAATCAAATATAAGTGTTTCTATATTCTATTGAACAGAAAAGTAGATATTTTGAAGAATGCTAGTAGCTGGAACCCATTAACTACCAAAGTTTTTTTCTTCTTCTTACTATGAAAGTAAATGGATGACAGCAAACAGAAATCTTCAAAATAGCCTCTTTTGCATTCAGCAGAAGAAAGAAACTCATAACAGTATAAAACCACACATGAGTATCAGCATTATCAGCACAACACAGAATCTCAGTCTTGCTGTGTGAGCAGCCTATCAAAAAACAATGACTCAACTAATGGCAGTGTTTGGGGTGGGACTGCATGTCAATCTATATATATTATATAACAGATGATTGAAAACTGTTATTAGTAGGCCATTACCTACCATCTCGATACCACAGCGCTTCAGGCTGCAGATTAGCCAGATTGGGGCTAATGGTCATCTTGCAGCTCAGGGTGACCTTATCGCCTTCTTTTCCAAAAGTCACATCAAACGTCTCAAGGAAGGTGATGTTAATCTTTGTGTACTTGATTTCAGGTAAAATGGCATCTGAGAACACAATTTTTTGTCATGACTTATTTTAAAATCATACTTGTTACTATTTTTCTACTAATTCTATTTTTCTACTATTATTTTTCTCTGGCTTTGCCACTTACACTGGTAAGGCATCCAGGAATAGGGAGTAGACTTCTCTTCCTCTCTGCACCCTATAAAGCACACACGGCAAGAAAATGATCAACCTTCCCGCAGTTCAAACAAGTCAATCCACATTTCGGAGTACACAAAGAGAAAAACAAACAAACAAACAAATACATGAATTGCTTCTTCGTGTTTCTCTAGCAAATGTATTTTTATAGCATTGTACATTTTTTGGGCATAAGTCACTTAGAATTTAGAAGTTGAAAATTATGGTTTTTAAATCCATTTAGCCAATCTCCAAGTCTGCCGAGAGCACATATAGCTTAGCTTAGCATAAATCATTGAATTAAATTAGACCATTAGCATCTTAGAAATAAAAAAAAGAGTTTTAATTTTTTTTTTAATCGTTCCTGTAACGCGCTTTGAAATCAGCTTATTTTATTCTATGTTTGACATAATCTCAAGCAAAATATGAAGAGAGAGTGGGACATAGAGTAGCTCCTCCCCTTTAAAAAGAACAGCCAATAGAGTTTTGTTTTATCACCGCTTTGCTAGGGAGAGTGGTTGAGTTCCTTAGATATATACATTAGATGTTGCCTACCCTGCTGTTGTCTACTAAAAGAAATTAGTTAATAAAGCTGCCATTTTAGTACAGGGTAGCGCTCTTTTGAACTAAATGCGAGACCAAGGTGCAGTGGAGGACTGTGGCCATCCAAAGCCAAAAATATACACATACAGTATGCACATCGAGAGTCTTCCCGGTGGCCAGGATGCAAATAATTTTTTAAATTACAAAAATTATAATTTTCCATCACTTTTCTTCATTGATGGATGTGGCCGCACGGGCAAAGAGTGTGTGTTTGTGTGCATGGAAGTGTATTATCCTCCCTCCCTGTTTAATTTGATCTAATCTGAGTCCTGAAACACACGTCCTCTCCTGCTTTCACTTCTTATTCTGACAGAGGGAACGATTCATTTGGGTTATTCACTTAGCTGACAATAATACAAGTTTCTGGCACTACAGCATCTTGTTGTCATATTTCATTTACATTGTTTGCTGATTTTTTTCAACAAAACTAGCATAAGCCTATTCAGTATTTAGTGTGAGTTTGTGCTCCTTTGCCTCATGGTGAATGCAGTAGGTGACTGTATTATCATCAATAATGTTACTTGTTGTGCACAAAAGTTCGTGACATACAAAAACGTAAAAAACTAAACCTTAAATGTTCTGCCTTTGTGCTTTGTTTTCTTTGTTTGCTCGTTACTACATCCGTACACATCGCTAAAGTCCAGCCTCTTCACATTGGCACACTGTCTTAACTAGTGCGTTTGAATGGCATTTGTTCTGGGAGCACTGTACAAATGTGGCGGCGCTATTGACGCATGCTCAGTGTCCGTATGTGATATCTAGTGTATATATCAATGGTTGAGTTCAAGCCTATCAAATGTTAAGCTGAAGGGGGCGGGGCATGGCACATACTAGCATTTGATTTCTCACAATTTAATGAAAAACTGAGGTATAAAGTGACATGAATAAAACCATTGATCCAAACTACAAGGTTTACTTGTTTATATCACTGATATTTTGAAACTGTTTTGGTGCTCACTAGAGTATACATATCTTGCAAAACTAACAATACTGATACTAACATTTTAAAATTATATTATTAGATTATTATATTTAATAATTATAATTATTTTAATTTCATGGGACCTTTAACATGACACTTAAGTGTGCACTAAGACCAAAAATTCCTCTTTAGTTCCTCTATATAATTCCTAGTAACTATAGACCTATACTTTTTCATTTAGTGTTCGCAAGAAACTTGCTCTTCAGCTTATTTTTCCAATTTTTGATTATTGAGATATTGTTTATCAGAGTGCGTCAAAATTAGATCTTGCTCCTCTTAATACGGCATATAATAGACTTTGCAGATTTGTTCTGGGTTGTTCTTTTTACACACATCATTGTTTAATGTATGATGTGTTGCAGTGGCCATCTTTGCACACAAGATATTCAACATATTCACTGCCTTCAATTTATATTTAAATGTATTCATCTTGAGTATCCTTATTATTTACAACAATATTTTGTATTTTTTTACTTAAATTATCAAGTTAGACATTCTGTTCAGACTTTTTTTTTTGTCCCTCCTTGTAAAAAACTATGGGTAAAAGAGCTTTTATGTTTAAGGGTCCAAAAGATTGGAATAATTTGCCTGCTAACATTCGATCCACTACATCAGAGGTGTCAAACTCAATCCCTGGAGGGCCGAAGCCCTGCACAGTTTAGTTCCAACCCTGCTCCAACACATTTATCTGTAGGTTTCAAACAAGCCTGAAGGACTCAATTAGTTTGATCAGGTGTGTTTAATTAGGGTTGAAACTAAACTGTGCAGAGCTGCGGCCCTTTTGAAACGGAGTTTGACACCTGTGCACTACATCATTTAAGGTCTTTAAGCAAAATTTGTTATCATATTTTACTTTGGATTGTACTTTTTTTCCTAAGGATGTTATTATTTATTTGATTCTCTGATCTGTATATAGTTTTTGTACCACATATATATACGTATGTATATATTTATGTATGTACTGTATACTACTCAACAAGTGGCGCAGTAGGTAGTGCTGTCGCCTCACAGCAAGAAGGTCACTGGTTCGAACCTCAGCTTAGATGGCGTTTCTGTGAGGAGTTTGCATGTTCTCCCAGCATTCGTGTGGGTCTCCTCCGGGAGCTCCGGTTACCCCCACAGTCCAAAGACATGCGGTACAGGTGAATTGGGTAGGTTAAATTGTCCATAGTGTATGAGTGTGTGTAGGTGTTTCCCAGAGATGGGATGCAGCTGGAAGGGCATCTGCTGCGTAAAAACTTGCTGAATATGTTGGCGGTTCATTCCGCTGTGGTGACCCCGCATTAATAAAGGGACTAAGCCGACAAGAAAATTAATGTAAGTTATGTTTTATTTTGTCTTTTGGTGTTATTATTATGTGATTGTGATTAATTGTTCGACCCCCTTGAAAAGGAGATGGTACATTTCAAGGGGTTTATCCCATTGAAAAAATATCAAACACTACAAAATAAAATGCTTTATTGCTGCAGAAGGCGCAGTAATATTACCCAGTGCCTGAAAATAGTCCCCAGCTGGATAACCACTATAGGTAACAGTGCTGTGTAATATCATTGCGCCTCCTGCAGGCATTAGATGGCAGCAAAGTTCTGTGATTTCTACGCTAGAATAAGTATAAAGTTCTTAGACATATCAGCCTGAAAAAGAACAACTTTTCATTTTCTATAATTTTTTGTACACAATGTAACGACTGAAGTGTCAAGCGCTTAATTAGGGAAATTAACTAAATTATTAGTTTTTATTATTTAGGCGAGATGCTAATGGTCTAATCCGATTCAATGACTTATGCTAAGCTAAGCTAAAAGTGCTCCAGCTAGACCCGAAGATTGGCTGAATGGATCGAAACTGCTTAAATCTAGGTAAAAAGCGGAGTGTTCCTTTAAAAACCAGAAAATATGAGAAAAAAAAGCTTACTCTTCACAATGATGGAGGCCTGGGAGGAAGCCTGTCCATGCGAGTTTGAGGCTACAGCCGTGTACATTGCAGTGTCATCAGTTGCACATCTACAAAAGCAGACATAACTCATTCACAGGTGTCTACAGCTTCAATCAATACACGGCTGGATCGCAACACCATCTTCACCCACTCCACTAATTAATCAGTCAATAAATAATCAGCAAGATTGCAAGTTGATTGGATATATGCCACAGTCATTTCCTAATTGACATTTGGAAAGCACATAAAGTGCTTCCCCATCATGATGGATAAATTGGCAGTTAACTAATGCTCTAATGTCAAGAGGATAATTGCTCCAAACTAAATGCTAATGTAGAGCAGCGCCTGTTTTTCGAGACGTGTTCAACACCGGGGAGGCTTTGAGGCTTGAATGGCAACAGGAGACGCGAGGGAAAAGAAAATGAGAAGACTGCAATGTGACCTTCGGTGTGACCGTACTATTTTCAAGCCGGTTCTCCTGGCCCCTGGGGGTCTTAAAAAGCATGGCTGCTTGTCAGAAAAAAATGAAAGGTTTGGTCATTTTAGGGGAAATGCGGAAAGCCAAGATTCACCTGTGAGGTTTGGCCTTCAAATGCAAGAAGCCGTCAGGAAAGTGACATAAAGGCCCCTGAGTTTTTGTGGCACTGACAGGCTGACAGCAGTGAAAGTCATCTCTCTGTAAGGCGCCGGAGTGTCAGATGACACCAAACTCAGCACTTTGACAAGAACAGCTGACAGGATCTCAAGACGTGGGCGGCGCACCAACCAGCCCTGGACTAAATTGGAAAAGTTCACTTGCAATCCCATTGACATGACTGCCTTTTGTGGAAATTCACTTCTTAGTCATGTTTAATTGTTTTTATATAAATGAATCTCAGGAAATCTATGAAAAAAAACATCATATGGATTACATTGCTAAAAAGTAAAACTTCTTATTTTGTAAATGTAATAACCATTTCCTCTGAATGTATATAGTTCATCTGGAAAGTATTCATAGCGATTCACTTTTTACACATTTTTCTTATGTTCCAAAATGGATTAAATTAATTTATTTCCTCAACATTATGCACACAATATTGCATAATGACATTGTAAAAAAAAAAACAAAAAAAAAAAACACATGTACTCAATACTTTGTTGATGCACCTTTGGCAGCAATTACAGCCTCAAGTCTTTTTGAATATGATGCCACAAGCTTGGCACATCTGTCTTTGGGAATTTTTGCCCATTCCTCTTTACAGTACCTCTCAAGCAATAACAGGTAGTATGGGAAGCAATGGTGTACAGCCATTTTCAGATCTCTCCAGAGATGTCCAATAGGATTCAGATCTGGGCTCTGGCCGGGCCACTCTATGATTTTAGGATTTATATATACAGTTGAAGTCAGAATTGTTAGCCCCCCTTTTTATTTTCTTCCCCAATTTCTGTTTAACAGAAAGAAGATTTCCTCAACACATTTCTAAACATAATAGTTTTAATAAATTCTTGATAACTCATTTATTTAATCTTTGCCATGATGACAGTAAATAATATTTGACTAGATATTTTCAAGACACAGCTTAAAGTGACTTTTAAAAGCTTAACTAGGTTAATTAGGTTAACTAGGCAGGTTAGGGTAATTAGGCAAGTTACTGTATAACAAAGGTTTGTTCTGTAGATTATCGAAAAAAAATTGCTTAAAGGTGCTAATAATATTGTCCCTAAAATATTTTTATTATTATTATTATTATTATTAAAAACTGCTTATTCTAGCCGAAATAAAACAAAGAGGATTTTCTCCAGAAGAAAAAATATTATCAGACATACTGTGAAAATTTCTTTGCTCTGCTAAACATCATTTGGGAAATATTTCAAATATCAAAGGGGGCGAATAATTCTGACTTCAACTGTATATACTGTATTTTTTAACATTGTTTAAGAAGTTGTGTATTTTATCAATTTTGTATTAACATTGTGAATGTTTTTGTATTACTGTCTTTAATTTATCGGCTAATTTATGTTGGAAAAAAAAGAATATTACCTTCAATAATCAGAGAGTGAAAGATAAAATTATTAGCGTTCCTGTGAAATTTAAGCTATTCTATAAATATTTCCCAAGTGGTGTTTAACAAAGCGAGGACATTTTGCACAGTGTTTTTTTATAATAATATTAATCATAATCATAATAATAATCATCATCATCATCATCATTAAATAAATAAATATTTTTTTCAAGGTCAATTTTTAAAGGTCAATATTACTAACCAATATTACTAAAAATATATACAGTGAAATTGAACCAGAATTTGGCAAAAACCCAAACAATACAAACATAAAAATTAAACAAAACAATTTTTTTTTTCAAAAAATGAGCTGTGTAATAACAAGGGAATGACACATGGAGAAAGAACTGAACTACTGAAACGTAATTAATACTTTATATCAGTGGTCCTCAACCTTTTTATTTCCACAGACCGGTCAACGCTTGACAATTTTTTTTTTGCTCCGTGGGTTATAGATTGCTAGGCGACCATCAACCATTTTCTTAGAGGAAGACAGGCTGAGAAAACATTGCTGTTTGGGTGTTCTGTGTTTGTCTGAGATCATTAGTTTTCCCGATATGCGAATACTCCATACAAGCTGAAGCTGATCAGTCATTTCTTGTCACGTGACTCAGAGTGCGCTCACAGGATTCATTCAACTGGGTGCGTCTGGTCAGGAAGACGCGAGTGCATCACGCTGCTTGCACACATATCCATTGGAAACAAGGTACTTGTGCGAACTCTAGAAAAGACGCGATATGCGAAGGGCCCCTAAAAGGCCACCATGATTTGGAATCTTCATCAGTTGATCTTCTTGCGCAGACATGCTGAATTCACCTGATTTGTTGACAAATAGATTGTGGATCTATTCCTTGCCAGTTCGTGAGTCCTTCACTAGGCTTTTTCCACTTAGGAAAGAACTTATTTTGCTGCTTGTGGGTTAAATTTGGGCGCTCAAGTGACCGAGATGTAAACAAGAAATTACGGTAATTTTTTTTTTAAATAAAAGACTTTTCAAAATAAAAGATTGTTTAAATAATAAATAAAACTGAAATAATTCATGATTTCTTGTGCGGCCCTGTACCAATTGATTCATTGACCGGTACCGGTCCACGGCCAGGTGATTGGGGACCACTGCATTATATAAAAGGCTTTTTTGGTGATCGCACCTAAAAGAAGCCTCTCATGTGAGCAATGAAGTCACAAGAATTGCTCAGGTGCGAGTTTTTCACTGACTTCAACAGACTGTAACTTCAACTTGTCTATCAAATATGAGCTATAATTTGAATTTTATATCGTACCCAACTGAGTCTGGTTCTCTCAAGGTTTTTTTTCTTCACTCCTATCAGGTGAAGTTTTTTTTCCCTCTCCGCTGTTGCCACTGGCTCGCATGGTTCAGGATTGGTAGAGCTACGCATCGATGAATTTGCTCTTCAGTGTTTGAACTCAGTAATGATTTTAAATCACACTGAACTGAGCTAAACTGAACTGAACTTAAACACTAAAAACTGAACTACACTGTTCCAGTTACTATGACCATTTATGTGAAGCTGCTTTGACACAATCTACATTGTAAAAGCGCTATACAAATAAAGCTGAATTGAATTGAATTGAATATGGGATTGAGTTCAGGGGATTGAAATGTCCACCCTGGTTTCATCTTCATTATCCTGGCAAGATGTTGGACTTAAGCAGCTAATATTCATTTACAATGACGAAAGGGGCAGAGGATTGCTGAATAACTGTTGAGAGATTTCAACCGCTGTCTAGGCTTTCCATGCAATTCTACAGCTCCCTTTCTTCATGTCTTCAGTCCTTTTTCCCTGTGCTATTTTAACTTAATTTTTAGACTAATTAGATTTGTTATCTTTGCATATATGGATTTCTTTGATTGTTACCAACATCCAGTAATAATGTCAGGTCAACAGCACTTTTAGATATACGTTTTCTAAGAAAAATGGTGACGTCGTCAGTATTTAATTCCTCCACTGTATATAGATTTCTGGTCAAAAACAGGAAGAAAAAGAAGTCAAAGAAGAAGATGATGAAGAAGTTGAGAACCACAATCATTAAACCTAAAATAGATTAAATGTTGCATATGCAAAATAATTCATTAGACAAATGTTCATTTCATTTTTTAATTTTTAAATCTCTCTGTAAATTCCCTTGCTTCTTCTAATGAGCTTAAAACCTAAGCCATGTCACCTATTGTCACACACTCAAGTTTGTCATTCATTCTGTTTAATACCGATCAACAGTAAACCCCATCCTGTCACTGCAGCACCAAAAAATCCCAACAATGTAAAGTTCGAATTACTTGAGGATGGTGAGAGAGTGGAATCCAGCATTACTCTCCACAAAGTACTTTCCAGAGGAAACGTCCAAGATGACATCATCCTTGAACCTGTTGGAGATAATTACAATATATGAATAGAATAGAATAGAATAAATAATAGAACATTGATACAATATATAAATATACTTTTATCAATGATTTGAAATATTAAGAATTATAGACAAAGCATAAATGTTTCCCTGTAATGTTTTACTTGCAGTGGCCACTTTATTTGGTTCAACTGCTCGGAAATGCAAATATCTAATCAGCCAATCACATACCAGCACCTCTATACATTTAAGTGTGTAAATGTGTCCAAAACAGTCTGGAGAAGTTTAAACCAAGCATCACATTGTGAGGAAATGTGGAAATGAAGAATGGGGACGAGCTGAGGGTTGTGCATATATAAAAAAATACAGTAAATGCTAAATGAAAAAAAAAACTCATATCACGATAAAAGTCATCTCATATCCTGATAACAATATATACTGTTTAAAAAATCAGTTAATTTACTGTTTCAATACTTTGTGTTTTCTGTTTATTCACGGTTTTCAATTGCATTATGAGAGCTAGATCTCTGCTCTGTTGACATTTAATGTTAAAAATTTAACTCTACAGTTTAACAGTGACTTTTATTGACATTTTAGTAGTTTGAAATAATATAATGTATAAAAAAGTAACATTTAGAGAAATAAGTCTGTAAAATAACAGAAAATATACTGGAAGTTTATCACAAGGTTTTTGTAGCATAATATACAACACCAATACAGACAATGTATCACTTTAAAGTTTAAACTATTGAAAAATATAAGTAATAAAGTCCCTTTGTCCAACTTTTCAAGGTTAAACGTTTTCAAGGAAAGGTTTAAGGCAAAATTTAAAAATAAAAACATGAATTAAAATGCGAAAAACTGTTAATATATATTTGTACAGTGTATTCATATATCATTCATATAATATTAGCATATTCATATATCATATTTTGTAATTTATATACATTGACCTTTCTTTTTTTTACATTTTAAAAATTCTTACTTTAAAATGTTCTCATTTATATGTGATCCCATTTCTTACTTTATATTAAACTTTGGGCCAGCCAGATGCTGGAAATATAAAATAAATTTTAATGAAATACAAAACACTTTTTAAAAAGGAATGATCATAGGCCGTGTAAAATAGCACTGCATTCATTTATTCATTTTTATTTATTTTTTTGGCTTATTAAAAAAAAAATTATTCAACTTATCAAAGTTTTTACGCAGTGGATGCCCTTCCAGCCACAATCCATCTCTGGGAAACATCCAGACAAACATTCACCACACACACACTCATACACTACAGACAATTTAGCCTACCCAATTTACATTAAAGGGGCTAAGCCGGCAAGAAAATTAATGGATGAATGAATAATCTCACACTGCCCTAATTCAATAGCAAGGTGAAAAGGAGTTTTTTTTTTTTTTTTTTCATCTCCCTGTCCTGAAATATATCTTACTTCCTTTTTCTAAATGCTACCTCCTATTGACCTGTTTTCCCCTGATATGTGATGTTTGTTTATGGTCGGTGGGGGTCCAATTTCACTATATGATAGTGTATGCGACTACATGGACGTATATGTGACAAATAAAGGCCTTTGATTGATTGAATATGTAACATTTATATCACAAAGCATGAAATAAATTGCTTTTATTTAGTAATGCGCCAGAATGAAAATTTAGAGCCAAAACCAAAAACTTTACATGCACTTGGCCGAAAACAGAGACTAAAAATGTTTTTTGTAATAACTGTTTATTATTTTAATAAATAAAATTAAAGAAATGTATATAAGACCTTTTAAATTTAACTCAATAATATTAATTAATAATAAATTATTATTTAATATCAATTAATAATTATACTGATTTCAAAGAACATTTTTGTTTGTGTTAAATGTATTATCGCAAGAAATATCACTATCGCAATCCTCAACAGCAATCTTGCATATTTTCCTATATTTTCCCAGTATCACACAGCCCTAATAATAACAACATTACATCTCCACAACTGGTTGTGCAAAGAAACCTCACCATTTGACATGTGGGGTGGGATATCCCTCTACGGTGCAGAAAAGTTTAATGGCGCTCTTTTCGAACACTGTGTGGGACCTCAGTCTAACCACAAATGCAGGGCCCCGGATCATGGACTCCTCCCGAATGTATTTCTCAGGCATCTTCCTCTCGACCTGATGAATCAACAATTAAAAGAAATCATCAACTTAAAGCGCTTTTGGCTCCTAAAAACTCTATGCTTGACAAAAAATATGTTCAGAGAACCTGTTAACCACTTGTCAGGTAACATCAAATGTCTTTAACATTCAGTAAAATACATATTAACAAAAGTACTATATACCAACAGCATATCTAAATTAATAAATAAGAATATTGGAAAATAATGATCATTTATGGTGCATTACCACTTGGTGGACTCTCTTCTGTGTTTGGTACTGATATTTCACCTCTTCAGCCACAGAGCTAAATAAGACAAATTGTGTATACTGAAATATTAACACTGAGACCAAAACTTAACAGATGCAAAAACCTCTAAATGTTGTCTGAAATTAGCATTTTTATCAGGCTCTTTAGTGTAAGTTCAGTAATATTACGTTAATGGCAAAGAATAATTCCCTTTCGTGGTCTTTCAAGTGAAATAACTCAATATAAACAAAGGATGCTGAGAAAAGTTTTCATTTTCAGAAGTTTTATACAGCACTTAGGGGTTTTTGCACCTAAACTCTTCAACTATAAACAGTATTATAAAAACATAAAGGAATTCAACTATCAGCATGAGTCAATAACATTTCATATCCTCTCATATTAATAATCGGTTTATAGACATGCAAATTATACAAACATAAACATGCATATCATTATTCATGCTTTTAAAGCAACACCTTCAGGGTAGTCTTTTGTGGAAAGAAAGAAGTAACCAAAGATATATACTGCACAATGTTTATTGTTTTTTGTTTGTTTGCTGGTTCATATTATTTAGCTAAAGTTCTGATAAATTTTGAACAGGGCTGGACGATTTGGCCTAAAGTCAAAATCTCGATTAATTGAACATTTCAACTCAATTACGATTAAAGAATAATTATTTTATTTATTCAATTTTTTTGCTGCTGACAAGTTTTAGAGGCCGTCTAAAGGCATCTTTGGCGCAGCTTCCAATCATTGTCAATGTAGTGCAAAGTAAGCCTTAAGAATGAGTCCATCATCCTACTTAACCAGAGATCAGATGTAGCTGCAAAGTTAACAGAGCGGGGTCACGTGACACGTAGAGAACGTAATTTAAAAAATCATCCTGGAAAAATTTGATCAATCATAGGTTCTGAACGGTTCGATTACTTTTCGATTAATCGCCAAGCCCTAATTTTGATCTTTTAACTAGGCCAACAATAAATAGCATCATCACAAGCAAAATGCTAATTTGGTGTAAGGTTCTATTTACTTAAAATACATATAGGGCTGCACAATATAACGTTTCAGCATTGATATCGTAATGTGATAATTCACAATAAAAACATCATAGGATATAAAATGCTGAGTTTGCATTTTAATTTATTGCTTGCATTTGTTTTAGATGCCTGGAATTGTATAATCATTTTAAATGATTCGGGAATAACAAATTGCACCACTTGTGACTTTAACAACGATTCATTTAATTGAACTATTTTTATTTTTATCATTCAATTACTGTACGTGAATACTGTTAGACTCGGGTAATGATAAAACACTTTATTTTTGTTGTATCTTTTTCTTAATTGTATTTATAGATTGTTCTTAATTGTATTTATAGATGTGCAGATACAGAAATGCACTGCAATTGGCACAAACCACAACAGAAATGTGTTGGGGGACCCTAAAATATTGTATACATTGTTTATTAGATTTTATAGAGATGCAAACAGTAAACATCAATTTATCAATTATTAACTAAACACATGCATGAAAATACAACACATTCAAATACTGAAATGCACTGCAAATAGCAAAGACCACAACAAAAACGTTACGGGGAAATTTATAGACTGTTTATTAGATTTTATGAAGATGCATTCCCACTGCAGAATCGTCCCAATTGATCTAACATTATAAATTCTTTCTAAATAGAGATATTAAGTCATCTGGCCATAATCGCAATAATATACATTGCAAAATAAAAAAAATATCACAATGCTAGATTTTTCCAATACTGTGCAGCAACATTTTCACATAAACAATAAACCAGCATCGTTTTCCCTTATCTTCATATATTAAAATATATCTAATTCTAAGCATCATGTTATTTGATTACAATAAAATAATAAATAAGTAAAAATTGAAAAGGTTTTCAAGCTTACAAAACATGTAATCTAATATCTGTATATAAATGCCCTTAATAGTTACACGATTGCTCATGTGAAACTGTTATTCGGTTATTTATTTTTTATGGCTCTTGGCATTTCAGTTTATTTTAAATACTTCGGTGTTACAAGTTATTAGCATTTTTAGAAATATTATTATAATGTTTGACCAAAAGGTGGCACTGCAACAAGCACTTCCTGAAACTGTCCTGAATACACATTCCGAGTTTCATAACAATTTGCCTATGCGTCCGAAAAATATAGCAATTTTTTACATAATTCAAAATGGCTGATGGCCAAAATGGCTGACCTGGACAAATCAGACATCATTCGACTTGGTATGGTCCATCGAATGGAAAGAGACCAATTTTATGAATTTTGGTTTAAGGGTTGAGAAGTTATATTCAAAAAAAGCTTCTTTTTTTTTGTATCTCCGGGCAGTACGCTGAGAAGTTGCAGGTAATTTCAGACCATGGTTGTGATGACACACACCAAGTTTGGTGTGAATACATCAATGCATTACAGAGACATCAAGTCTATTTTCGCAACATCTATGTTAAATTTGTTCACAAGTTAATTGAAAATGGGTCATCTAATTAACTTAAATTCAATAACATTTGGTCAACATGGTCTGTAGATCATGTGATTAAATTTTGGTGAAAATCAGACTAACGGCCTAGGATAAGATTGTTCAAACCGGTTTTGAGAAAAATTCGAAAATGGTGAAAAAAAAATTTAGGACGTAAAATGACATCATAGGGTGCGTTTGAATCGACTTGAGCCAAGGAATCAGAGGAAAAAAGAATTTGATTGTAGGCCATTTGGTTTGAAAGTTATAACAATAAACATAAGTGAAACTTTGGACAAGAGAGTTTGACTTAAAGAGTTGTGGTTGTGGTCAAAGATCAAACTGTCCTCTATCAGTGTGCTAGTTTGCGCAAATGTCGCAAACAGTTAATAGGGCTGCCATAGACTTCCAGAGAGGAAGACGAGGAAGCAATTCATTTAATATCTGTAAATTTAGTATAATAAATGTCCTTAATATTTACACGGTTGCTCATGTGAAACTGTTATTTGGTTATTTACTTTTTATGGCTCTTCATTTCAGTTTATTTTAAATACTTCAGTGTGACAAATACAGCCTGCAGTCTCTCTCTCTCTCTCTCTCTTAAATATGAGGTCACCTAAGCCGCATGCATAATTAGAACACAGTTTAACATGGAGTACAGCATGTCACACTGCAGGCCATGTCAACTTCCCTTAAGTATTTCATGTCAACCAGCCAGATGAAAAGTAGTAGTGACATAAAGGAAGGCTATCCATTATAGCTCAGCTACTGTTGGTAATGGGCTAAATTAGCAGAGCTCCAACTGCTGGCAGATGTTGTTATGTGTTAAACATGATATTGTTACAGATGATGTTATGCGCTGCTATTTTTTTTAGAAGTAGTAGTATTGCGTAAGTCTCATTATTAGCCGTTGAAATTAGCTTGAGCTGCAGTATTTCTGCCCCTTACCTAGAGTACTCTCGAGCAATACATTTAGACTCTGTAGTGAGGTATTCTTGATCAAAATGCTTGTGTCTGATAATGACTGCAGCCATGTTTGGCAACTTCAAGAAATCAAACCTGGAACATAAACATGCAGCATCTTTGCACACAAGACATAACAAAAAATGCATTCATTGATAGGTGCATACTCCGTATTAGGCATTTAAAATAATTTGGGACGCAGTATTGCAGTAAATCCAGAGTGTAACCCACTCCTGCTGTGATTTAGATGCTAGGAAAGTCGACCTGTTTGTGGTGCCGAAGAGGAGGGGGTGTTCTGGAGCTTTGGGCCACAGGGAAGCCAAACTTCACAGCAGTTTAAAATTAGAGGTTGGGGGTTGGGATCAGACAGTCCAAGGAGATGGGTACAGTATTCAAGGGTGATTTCAACTGTATACTTGAAGATGCATGCTATTATTTGAATAAATATACTTAAACACAAAAAATAACCAACTTCTTATGAATATTTACCCACTATCAAGGACAATGATCTATGCTGCAAATCAAAATCCATAAAAAATACATTTTTTATATATATAGAAAATCACTCAATCATGCATAAACAACTCATATGCAGTCACTTCATGACCCCACAATAGCCTCAATGTGCACATCAAACATATTTATGCAGCTTTTAAGCAATATGACAAACAAATAATCAGTCTTTCTTTGCATAAATGCAACAATAATCATTCAAATATCCAATCATAGTCATTCCATCCAATAGGTGATACCACTTTATTGTTATTTTCTTCACAAATAAAACAATAACAAAGTGTAACAGCTATTCATTTAATCAATCATATCCACTGAAACGAACGTGTTATGAACTCCTTCAAAGTCAAGTGCAACTCTCACCCAAGCAAACATCCCACCAAAAGTCTCCTTCAGCTTCAACGATATTTAGATTTCAACAAGGACAACTTTCCATTATGGTTTGACAACAAAAAGTGTGGAAAAGGGGCCAAATATACTTACCCCAGGAGAATACACGAGCGCGACGCGGCGGTAGATGAGCCTCTACCCGCCTGGGAGAAACCAGCTGATGAAAAGCAAAATATTACCCATGTGGAATGCTGCCTCTCCCGCATCCCATTTATGGATAAGCATAGGACTATATATAGCATTTACACTAACTTTCCACATCATTTCGCACATGTTAAGATACCAGACAGACATTTAAGCTCGATATTGGCATTTAAATAGCATGGCTTTTTAAATGACAAGAGATTAGCCAGAGTGTAATGGTGTGGTACTCTGAATTAGTGAAAAGAGCTGCTAAAACGAATGCGCGGCTGGCCAGAGTTTTTAAATATTATAATTTAAAATCTTTTAAACTTTTTAGAAAACGGAATGTTTTTTTATTTCTTGCTTATTTTTATTTTGAATAAAACAATGTTATGTATTAATCTCCAACAAAAAGTATATAAATAATGTAACGTAATCAACATGTTATTTGTTGTATGCCTACAGCAACACAAATGACTGTTTAAGATTTTAAGTGAATCAAAATGGGGTAATTCACTGTACCAATAACATCTGAAAACTTTCTGGCTGTGGTGACGTTTTCTTTTAGCTTATTTTGTATAATTCTCATTCACGTGACATATATTGCTGTTTATCACATGACTTGACAGCGCACGCGCGGAAATGCTATCATAACAAACACAGGCTGTTTGTTACTGACAGGAAAGGAAGTGGCTTCAAAGTGACTCAACCGCACATCATTTTTTTAAAGAAAGTCTGGGCAGATCTACTTCAGTCAGAGTTATACTAATAGGACGAAAGGAGAACTGTAACGTTATGTGAATTGGAGCGGCACTTCAGACAATAACAGGTAACGTAAATGACTTCTTAGCGCAAGTTGATTTAAGTTTATATCCGATTGTTACCGCAACTGATACGCTTATTTCAGTGTCTTACAGAAGCTATTAACAGCGATCGAGGTAAAGTTGGTTTTATATTCGCACTATCGTTCATTTAACTGTCTCTGTATTGTTTACCACGCTGATTTATTTGAATATTCAATCAGAATTAGCATGTAACTATGACTTCAAAACAACATCAACAATATCTGTAAACATGCTTTGACAGTCATTGGCTGCTAATATGATTTCCCAATTTAGAATTTGCAAAAAATACTTTTCTGAAATTATGTAATGTCCGAAAACCAACTTGACCTCTATTTAACAGTGTACGTTGTATGAATGTTTATAATAAATCTTTATCTTGTTTTTTTTTTTTATCAGATTAACTGTTTTACTCTACCTGGAAACATGAGATTCATTGCATTTGCTGTCATCTTTAGTGCTGTATATCTTTGCTCATCAGCCTTTACCCATCCTCGGTATGTCAAATAAATAATGGCATTTATACATTAATTTATATTTATTTATTTATTTATTTTTTGTTCTCTCATGTAAAATAATCTGTTTAAACAATTATTCATTTATTCGTTCATTTTCTTTTCGGCTTAGTCCCTTTATTAATCTGGGGTCGCCACAGCGGAATGAACCGCCTTAAAATCAATTAATTAGTTTTTATTAAATAAAAATATTACATAATGTAATCCTTATACATATAAACAGACAATTTAAATACATTTTAAATTAGTTTGAACAATTAATATAAACATTACAATAATGATCAGTTCTATTAATCCAGTTATTTTTGGTGAACTTGGAAAGAACTGGCTCATGAATTGATTGAAATAGATGTCACTGTATTTCTAAATATAAACCATAAAAATGCTATTGTACTGGAAATTAAAATCTACTCAGAATTACCATTCAGAATAATCAGAATCACAAAACAATGTCCATGTTGTGCATTATGAATTTGCTTTATGAGATCTAATATTCTGCATGGCCCTTTTTAATTACTTTAGTACATCGTTGATAATGTTTTATTTTAGTTAAAAGGCATTTTTTTATTTAACCAATTAAATAAACACACAAAATGTATGTGAGATTGTATGTGAGAGTGAATTGACTGCTTCTTTTTAGGGGAGAATGGACAAAACTTATACTGACCCAGCATTGGCCACAGACATTTTGCAAAGTATTGTATACTTTTCTTTAATTTCCATTGTTTTAATGCCACTACAACATTTTTTCTTTCTTTTTTATTCAATTTTCACTGTGTTGTTTTTCATTTTCAGATGGAACACTGCAAAACAGATTTCAGCTATTGGACTCTGCATGGATTATGGTGGGTTTCTCAAGACAGATGTGCATCTTAATGTTTGTCTAACAGTTATTTGCTATTTTAAGATGTAGGTATTGTGTTAGAACATATGTCTTAGGCATTGTCGGTTTCATATAATGACAATTTCATTTCATGACAATAGGGTTCAAAGTATTTAAAGAACATTTTTTTTTGTTATCATTGCAGGCCCAACACTGGTGTAAGGTGCAACACATCTTGGCATTTTAATGCCAGTTTGATTGAGGTATTTGTTTATTTGTCTTGTCCTGTTGCATGTTTTGTCTTTTTAATTTGATATATGATTAAGATGTTGTATGTACGTCTCTTACAGGACATACTACCAGAAATGGAGAAATTCTGGCCAGATCTGCTAGAACCATCTTCCCCAAAATTTTGGTATGTCAAACCTTGCAAATGCATTTAGGCACTACTATAATCTATTATATTTATTGTTATTATTAGTAGGGATGTCCAGATCCGATCACGTAATCGGAAATTGGGCCCGATCACGTGGTTTTAGACTCGATTGGAATCGGATGTTATCTCCCGATCAGGAAATTCAAACTTGCCATTGCATATCCTGCGATGTGACTATTGTGACTATTATATCGATGCTGAAATTATATTATGTGTAGCCCTAGTTTTTTATTGTGTGCGTTTGTGCTTAGGAATTATGAATGGACGAAACACGGGACCTGTGCTGCAAAATCAGAGTCTTTAAACAGTGAACATAAGTACTTTGGCAAAGCTCTCGAACTCTACCACAAGTTTGACCTTAACAGGTAAGTTCTTCTTTTTTAAGTGGTTTTTGAGTGATGTAATCTGATTTTGTGGCTTATGAAAAATGAGGAAGTTAGTAAAGGAAGCAAGATAATAGTGGATGGATTCAGTACATCGATGCACCTGATTGAAGCCTTATTCAGACCCTTTGCTAAAGAAGTGACTTACACTTGTCATATTGTATAAGTCTAATTTTATGTCCTCTCCTTAAAGGGATACTTCACCCCAAAATTTTAATTTACTCGAGTGGTTTCAATCCTTTATTAGTTTCTTTATTCTGTTAACCACAAAGTAAGATATTTTGAAGAATGCTGAAAAACTGTAACTATTGACTTCCAAGGTAAGTAAAACAAATACTGTGGAAGTCAATGGTTACAGGTTTTTAGTAGGGGTGTGACAGATCATGGTAGATATGTGATCCGTATGGATCACAACTCACAGGACGGAATGCAGGTGACCTGTGAATTTTTACATGTAGATTAATCCTACATTTGTAACGATCACCGAGACATTGCCATTCAAATCACATGTGTGACAACATTTTGAATGACTTGATGCTCAAAATTGTACAATTACACAATTTAACCAATAGGTGGTGACCAGAGTTGGGTGTAACGCGCTATTTATTCATTCATTCATTTTCTTGTCGGCTTAGTCCCTTTACTAATCCGCGGTCGCCACAGCGGAATGAACCGGCAACTTATCCAGCAAGTTTTTATGCAGCAGATTCCCTTCCAGCCACAAAGCATCTCTAGGAAAAATCCACACACACACATTCATACACTATAGACAATTTAGCCTACCCAATTCACCTGTACCACTGTGGGGAAACCAGGGCACCCGGAGGAAACCCACGTGAATGCAGGAAGAACATGCAAACTCCACAGAGAAATGCCAACTGAGCCGAGGCTCGAACCAGCGACCCTTTGACTTTCTTGCTGTGAGGCGACAGCACAACCTACTGCGCCACTGCTTTGCCCTGTAACGCGTTACTGTATTCTAATTACATTTTTGGGGAACGCGGTAATTTAACGAATTGCATTATAAATTTGTGTAATTTGATTACATTACTAAAGTCAGTGTAATTGCATTACTTGCTTTACAATTTTAGTTTTTATAAGAAAAAAAATTCTTCTTTTAAATAATGTTTTCCGCTGCAACATCAGTTAATAAACATGCACTTTTAAATGGCTGGAAAACACATTGCTGTTGGCGTGAGTGTTTGCTTTTTCAAGTGGAAATACAGACATTACTTTGATTACATCAAGCATAAAAACAAAAATATTGCTGTGAAATTCAGTCGATGTCCAGTCTTTAAAGAACTTTCGACTGCTTTTATCTCGACCAGCAACTTGTTCAAGCACTTGAACAGAAAGCATTCTATGACAATACCCGTCGCCAAGAAGAACACCTGTGTCCAACTCAGGCTAAATAGGATTTTTCTGCAGGATCTGGAGTGAAGGTATCTTTTGAATGTGAAGAAAAGTGTAGCTACTTATTGGGTTGTTTGCATATCGCGTCTTTTGCACGTGCAAGTTCGTTATTTCCAATCGAGGAATGTGTAACAAAAATCATATTGACCGTATTCGCATTTTCCAGGTGAATCAAGTTGAAAACCGCAAGTCACGTGACAAGAACTGATCGGTCAGCTTCATACTTTGTATAAAGTATAAAGAATATACACATTTCAGTTGGCTAATTACCTCACCAAACATTGCTGTTATTTTTCATACTATGGATGTCAGTGGTTACAGGTAACCAGTTTTCTTCATGTCTTCTTTTTGTGTTAAAAAAAAAAAAGACTAACGAGTTTGGAACAAGTAAATGATGAGAGAGTTTTTAATATTTGGGTGAACCTTAAGTCTTTTGAATATGTCAAGCTGTTGTGATCAACCTATTGTAATGTTTCCCAGTGAATATTAAATAACTGAAAGAGCTGCAGTTTATTTAGCATTTTTATATATTTTATATTATATATTTTATAATGTATATTTATATTTTATATTTTATTATATTTTATATTTTTATATATTTTAATATGTATATTTTATATGTTTTAAAATTATCTTCAAAGTAAAGTAATTATAAATCTGATTACTTTTTACATTAAGTAATTATTAATGTAATCCAATTACAATCGTCCAGTAGTAGTCAGTAAGTTGTAATATATAAATTTCTTTTAAAGTAACTTACCCAACACTGGTGGTGACCCTGGTGGTGAGACGACTAAAAATAAATATGATGTATTCTACAAATGATAATAATTTACACATTTAGCATTATCGGCAACAGTAACGAAGATCGTTTTTCACACTATTGAATGTATATATTATATATATTTTTTTTTTATTCAGCTGTTTATTAAAAGCAAAAGTTTATTGCATGACTGTTTTGTAATAAATGGAAAACAAATTACATTAGTCTCCTCCATTTTGTCTGATCCGAAAAAGGGTTCGATCCATGACGCAAAAAAAATGTAATGTCATCCGAACAGTAAGATTCGTAATCCATTACACTACTAGTTTTTAGCGTTCTTCAAAATATCGTATTTTGTAGTTAACAAAAGAAAGAAACTCGCAAAGGTGTAAACACATAAAGGGTGACTAAATTATGAAAATGTTCTTTATGGGTGTATTATTGCTTTAATGCTATGTAGAGGCAGAAGCTTGATGAATGTATTTTTTCAGGGGTTTTCAATATAGGAGTAGGCTGTATACTGAATTGTTGGCCCATGCAACGAAATCTTGAAATATAGCAATATAACAGAATTTTTTTTATTTTTACATTTATTCTACAAAAAAAATAAATATATAATATTGAGTTATTATGTACTATCCAGCCATAGCTGCCACTGTTTTCCTCATAGGCGTTTTGTGTTTTTCAGTGTTTTGCTGAAGAATCAAATTGTGCCCTCTGAGAAGCATTACACGGTAAGTATTTTATTTATTCATTCTGGGTAAATAATTCAAAATCTAAGGTTTCGTTAAAGCGTTTAGCGTGATGTTCTGTCTTGCTTGTTTGGTGACACTACAACATGTATATTCATGATTTAATGGAAAATACTAATTCAGATTTCCCATAAATGTCATGCCTCGATTAAGAGGGCTTAAACTGTAATCCTAAACCACAATCTGCATCATTGTTGCATGACATACACTCTGGTAGATGCAAGATCAGCATTTCAACATAAAGATCTTGCAGTTTTCTGTTGGATTTACCCAACTTCTTCATTTTTTTTTTAGTTTGAAGTAAATAATAATCTAGCAGTTATGATCACATGCGAGTAAATGTGTCATATTTCCTGTTTTGATAGCTGGAGGATGTGGAGGAAGCCATTACAAGTGCCTACGGAGTAAAGCCCAAGATCCAGTGTGTCCACCCAGGACAGGTATGAATGAAGGCAGAATAAAGAGAGTCACTTACCAGGCGAGAAGCAACACGTCGTGCCACATCTTTAAAATTTGAAACATTGTTTTTCTTTTGAGTGTACACACAATTGCAGCACCATTCAGCATCTTTCCACAGCACCCAGCTACACATAGAAAACTATGTTTAGCATTTTATAGACGTGGCGTGATGCGGCAGTGTCCTTCTCGTCTGCTTTTAGAGTGCTTTAAAGATTGAGAAGTAAGAGGGTTTGTGATGTCAGCCAACAAGAAAATTAGATTAATTCTGTCATGTTGTGTATAATCATTTTAAACTTGTGTATTAAATACATTCAGTCAACAACATAACAATGTTTGTTTTCACTAAGGAATACAAATGGAAACCTTTTATATAGTTAGTTAGTCAACTTTATTTGTCCCTGTAAGGAAATTTTATTTGCAGCACACACTCACTGAGATATCTGACATCTAATATTTGGTATATGTATAAATAAATCCAATAGAAACATGGTACCCCCTACTCTAAATAAATATCCAGTCTACCAGCCATCAACTGCTACTGAGAGAGGAGGAATTTAAAAACTTTATTGCTTGAGGTATAAATGATAATTTTGTCCCATTTCTTACACATTTGGGAACACAATATCGACGACCTAATGGTAACAATTAGAAGGTGTATGATAAAGGATGTCTCTCATCATGGACAATCTTTCTTTGTGTATACTACTTATACTTTTTCAAGAGTTCACACTTAGATACTGTTTGACAACTTATTAGCAGGTTTGACATGCTGTCCTGGGCAGGGGCGGACTGGCCATCTGGCAATTCTGGCAAATGCCAGAAGGGCCGGACCATTTTTTGAAATGTGGGCCGGTCAGCTATTTTTATTTTTTTATTTTTAAATATGTATTGTTTTTACATGCAGGCAGCTTTTATCTCTTGCAAGATGTGAGTATTATGATGATGATGATGCTAATAGTAATAATAATTATAAATGTTAAGCATTGGCCCAATCAGCAATGACCGGCTGGTTTCGAGATGGGCCGACCCAAAATCTGGCTAGAATGTCAAACAAACAGTAAGTGCAACACAAACTAATTGTCAGAGATGGACCATAAAAAAAGGAAAGGAGGTGCCAAAAAGCTCAGAGAAAGCAAAAAAAAAAAAAAAGTCAAACTCTGCCAAATGCATAAAATTAACAGAAATAGTCTTAGGATAGAGCAGCGGAGGGGCACAAGAAGGTTGCTTTTTTGAGCCTCGCCTGGGTTAGTTGGTGTTTCTGTGTGGAGGTTGCATGTTCGCGTGGGTTTCCTCCTGGTTTCCCTCACAAGTCCAAACATGTGCTGTAGATGAATTGGGCCGGCTTAATTGTCCGTAGTGCATGTATGTGAATGTGCTGTAAGGGGTTTCACAGTGGGTTGCACTTTGGAGGGCATCTGCTGCGTAAAACATATGCTGGACAAGTTGGCGGTTCATTCCGCTGTGGTGATCCCAGATTAATAAAGGGACTAAGTCGAAAAGAAAATGAATGATCGCATATATAAATTTGTTTTTGATCCAGTCACATACATTAAATGTTTAAATATCTATTACATATATGGTACTGCTTATATTATTTCACCATCTATACACCAAAATTAGTGAATATGCGTGTCCGTGCAAGGGGCTGTGGCAGTATAGTAATGTGGGCTGGTGTGGCTACAGTGCCAGGGCTGATTTTTAGTCCCAGTCCGCCCCTGGTCCTGGGAGAGAACCCTGAGCTCGGAGATAGTTGAGCCCAGGGCTCTCGCCAGGTCCATAAAGCATGTGAAGGGAGTACGAGATCAGGTGTTCTCGAGAGCTCCCTTCGGCAAAAGAGGAAAGGAGGAGAAGGGGTGGATGGGGGGTTTCTTCGGAAAACGAAGATAAGGGAGTAGTTCTTAGCTAGGTTACTTATAGTGAGTTTGGATCAATCCGATTGGCTAGCCAATGAGTGTAGATGAGTGGCCAGCTGCAGTCAATCATATCACGTGCTCCTCTCGAAATTAGTTTGTGAAACTTCATTTAGTTCTATTCACAACAACTTACTGGATGTTGTTACCACCTTCCTCAGTGACCTCTTCAGGGCCTCAGAAGCATTTCCATACCAACAGATCACACAAAATTGCAATACTTTCAATAAAAGCACTTTAAAACATGATCAACAATGTGTTGTCAACATTAGAAGACAATAGTTTCTTTAAGAAGTACATTCTCTGTTGAAGCTTTTGCCTTACGCAGTCAGTCCATACATCCCTCTTAAGTTTATTGTCCAACATCGCACCCAAATATTTATCATCATTTGTTACTAACTGAATTTGCTCCCCATTAATTAATGTGGGATGAGTCTTGCTTTGTGTTCTCTCTCTAAAATCAACAACCATCTCCTTCGTTTTAGCAATATTTAGAAGGTTTGAATTTTCACACCAGTCTAAAAAGAAGTCAAGAACAGGCCCGTGTTCTTCATCCTCTAAATTTAAAAGGCTCACCAAAGTGGTATAATCTGCATACTTTACAATATATCTATTTTTAAATGAATTCATGCTAGAATTTGTTTATAAAATAAATAACAACCCTGGGGAGCTCCAACTGAAGTACATATTTTAACTGAAATAAAACCTCCCATTTTAACCTGTTTTATTCTAGAGCTGAGAAAATTGGCTATAATAACTCAGGCTATAATTTTATTGTCTACTAAAAAATATTTTGCAAGTGTAAAATATTACACTTTTTGCAGCTAGTATGCTAGGAGAAATCCAGTTAAAAGCTGATGAGAAATTCTTGAGTTTTCGGTTTCTCTAAATGAGAGTGCAACAGGTGCAATATAGTTAAAATTGCATCTTCAACTCCTCTAGATTAGAGCTGTAATCGGGTGCAAAAAAATTAGGCCCAATAGGGCCCGAGTCAGACAAAATTTGGCCCGAGCCTGACAAGTACATTTTGATTGACAGCTTTAAAAGCCCAAACTCGTTTCCAGCCCAACATTATTTAAATGTGCACCTGCACACAGCTCTTTTGCCTTTTTTCAAGAATGAGTCATTTATATGCGTTTAACATAATTTATTCACAACAAACGTAGGCTATAGGCCACTTAGAAGTTGAAACAAAGAAATAAAACAAGTCCTCTATAGCATCGTAACATCTCAGCATTCTAAATAGGCCTAGGTACACACACTTAGCCTTTACATTGGCCAACACACCAATAAAAATAAGTCTTTCCTAACAAATGAAATTAAAATAAATTCTAAGTTATGAGGGGTATTTGGCAATAACGAAATTAATATTCGAAATTAAGGCGATAGTGAAGTTGAATATTAAAAGAATAATGCCAACATTAGCCTATATCATCTGACTACATTATGTGCTTTTGATTTCTTTAATATTTAGTTATAACTTGAAAATCCTTTAATTACCAAGATTAGGCTATGTTTTTTGGTGGAATGAACATTATTGAATACACTGATGGCTTTAGCGCGGTGCTGTGCTCACTAATGGTGCGTTTAGCTGCACTGAAGACCCTTTCGCTACTGCTGTTGCTGTCCGGGATGCATACATTGGTACTACTGATCTAGCTTATTTTGCAAGTTTTGGCTCGGATTGTTTGTTCGTCTTTTTCCAGCCAAGAACATCCCTTCCATTTTCCATGACAGCGGTTTCAATAGCGAGTGTAGTCATCATTTTCCCCGTCAGCTTGCTGTACATTTTCCCACTCTGCAAAATTTGCTGTTTTTGACTTCTCCATCATCATTTGGTTAACCTTTGCAGGGATGGGTTTTAATGTTGTAGCAAATGATTTAATTACTTTCTTGCGCTAATTGAAATGCATCACATGACTGTTCATTTACTGCACAAGTCAGAACCCGGCCCGACCCAGTCTTAAATGATAGAAATTAAGCGCGAACCTTTCAGAATCCGTCTGCTGTACTCTAGAGGGGTTATCTCTTAATAGAAACCAACATCATTATGTTGTTAACCGAGCCAGAAATTTATTAATACACAAAAATCCTGAATCAAATTTTTGATTTTTATCCAAGGTTTTACCTTTTACTAGTTTTTATCTAACAGTTCTGACTTTCTCACAATTTAGAATGTATATCTCACTTTTCTAACTTCACATTTTAGACTTGACAACCACTGTAAAATCTGAAAACTCTGAATTGTGAGTTAGTCTTTATCTAGAAGTTGCAAGATTAAAAAAAAAACTGAGTTTATATAATGTAATTCTTAAAAAAAAAAAAAGGAATTGTGATATACAGTACAACCCAAGCTCATTGGAGATACTGTATGTCCCCAAGGCCACATTTCTGGGAATAAAATAAGGTGCAAAATATGTGCCCGGGGCTTCGTCTGCTTGCAGTCTTAGTTTTCACAAATTCACTAGGCTGCTGTGAAAATTTTTAACTATTTCAAATATGTTACTGGGCCTTGTTTTCCCATACAGCATGCGTCATTTGCATGTCCTTTTCGTAAATCCACCAGAAGTAAATGTGTACATTTCTGCGAAATTCAATGTCCTTCTCCAAATGTTTCTGTAAGTTAAGTTGGTCATGTTGACTCCGTCTTGTCATACGTATATCAACTTGCTATTGACTTACCCACTCACCCCCTTCCCTAAAGCCAACTGTTACGGCCCAAACTCAAAACTGGCTCGAATAACAACAACAATCACGGTTTGAGCCGAACATATGGAAGACACAGACGTTTGAATGGTTAAATTGACGTTCCGTCAATACGTTTAATTTTCCATAAATCATACGTTTTCAAAAGACAAAACATTAACAAAAATCAAGTAGACAGGTAGGGCAGCTAAGGTAAACAGGTCTCTGACTAAGCTGTTTTAAATGGACAGATGAGTCTTCCGGGCCACTGTTTACCTTCGCTTAACTAAATAAATAACAAAAACGTGACTATGAAAAATAAACCCCTACCTGCTACAAAACAAAGTATCAAATTAAACAAACTAGTTAACACATTACGAACTAAGAATCAAAAGATTAACATGAACCAAACAATAAATGGAGCGGCATCTGGATGAATGATTGCCGGGCTTGCGGAGCACCACCAGCCAGACCGCCTGAGCGCAAGCCGCCACCGAGCTGAGGGAGGGCGAGAGACTGAAGACAGAGAGAGAGAGTGGGAGAGATGCCATTGCTGTCAGCGTTATTTAGTGGAAATCCCCAGTGACGTCACGGGCATCATCCAATCCTGGATAAGCCGGGTGAAACACTCCTCCTAGAACTCAATCGCAAGCACAAACCGGCAATAAATAAATTCATTAAATAACACAAACCCACGTAACACCAACCAATGGTGTTTTCAAAAGCAAAATAGAAGAGAAAAACCAGTTTGGCCTTATGCTTAATTAAAATTTCAAACCCTAGTCTGCTCTATGTCCCGTACTGTACAAGGTGAGCTACAGAGCAAACTGCTCACTCCAAAAAAAAAAAAAAAAAAAAGCGTCATACATACAGAGGTAATCAGTCAGCAATAGTGTGAAAAGGACCAGAAGTTGTTGGCAGTGTCATACCACCTAGTAGCGGTTGTTTTACACAAAATGTAGCCATATTTTGCGGTTCCCAAAAATGTAGCCCTGGGGAAATATTCTCAATAAGCCAGTGTTGGCGTGAAATGAACTATAACAATTCAGGAGAAGAAACATTATTAATAATTGTGACAGAGAGAAGGGAGCGGGGCATGTCAGATACTAGAGAGCATTTGATTGGTCACAATTTGTTGAGAAACTAAATTATGAGGTGACTCAAATAAAACCATTGAACAATTTAGGCAGAAGTAATTAACTATAAGCTTTACATATTTATATCAGTTTTATATCTTCTAAACGTGAATTGTGTCACTGTTTTGGTGCGCACTAGCTTACATCTCATCTCATTTTCTTGTCGGCTTAGTCCCTTTATTAATCTGGGGTCGCCACAGCGGAATGAACCGGCAACTTATTCAGCACATTTTTTTTTATGCAGCAGATGACCTTCCAGCCGCAACCCATCTCTGGGAAACATCCACACACAGATTCACTCATACACTACGGACAATTTTGCCTACCCAATTCACCTGTACCGCATGTCTTTGGACTGTGGGGGAAACCGGAGCACCCGGAGGAAACCCACGCGAACGCAGGGAGAACATGCAAACTCCACACAGAAACACCAACTGAGCCCGCACTAGCTTACAAATATCCTAAAAACAAACAATAGTGATACTAACATCTAAAAAACTGTATTTTACCATCACGCGTAAGACCTTTTAAACAGGGTCATTTCTTTAACATTAAATTACTCACTATTATTAAATTGTTAGATGTGCAGTGACCACAATTTTCCATGAGTGTTTTGCTGAGGTTAAATGTAATTTATTGCTAATTTTGTATTTTTCAGGGAGGCCAGGTTCAAATTTTGGGCCAAATAGAGATCTGTGTTGACAGGGATTTCCAGCTGATGGGTTGTGAAAAGTCCAGCGAAGACACCTGGAGCAATGACCTCCCCACAGTGCCTGTCAGTGGCCAGTCAGGACTCAGCGTGTGTGATCACTCCATGCCAGTCTATTACCCACCGGTGCAAGCGTAGAGGTGGGCAACTTCAGACCTCTTTTCAGAGTTGGAAAGATTTAAGGGTTCCTGTCTAGCATGTTGAACACTGAAAATAATCATTTTCAGTAAATAAATGCACATTAAATTCCTTTGCTGTCCTAAACTATGATGCTGGAACGATCTACTGATAATTTAATGATGTCAAATTCATAGACTGCTATTTTTAGGGGGTTACTAGGTTCACTTTTGAAATGTATTGGTTTTACACACTGTATCTTGCTCAGCCTGATGTTGACTTAATCTCTTTTGTGAGATTGACACCTCAAAACAAATGAGTCACATTTTCTTCAATATTTTAAGAAAACAAAAAAATGTATGTATGTAATTGGAACATTTTTAGCATAGTACCATAGTTTTGTTTACGCATTGCAGTTTTCTGCACGTTTCATTACTGTTATTGTTGTTTTTTTAGTTTGTTTGTTTTATCAGCATAAATAAAAAAAAATCAAATGGACAAATACATTATCAGTACTTGATAATATAGACAATAATAATAGACAATAATATGACTATTATGTTAATAAATGAGATGCATACGTACAGTATATGTATGAATATGTGTGTGTGTGTGCGTATATATGTTAAAAAAAGCTCACGTATATGAAAATAATAGTGATATTATAAATATTTTTGGCCATTTTTAATCAGAATTAATAAAAGAACAGCAAATGCTACCATTCGTTAAAAAACTTGCATATTTATGAAAATAATAGTGATATTATAAATATGTTTGGCCATTTTTAATCAGAATTAATAATAGAACTGCAAGTACTTCTATCTTTTAAAAATACTTACATATTTATGAAAAAAATTGTGATATAAATATTTTGCCCATTTTTTAAATCCGAATTAATAAAAAAAAGCAAATACTACAATTTGTTATAAAAACTTGCATATTTATGAAAATAATAGTCAAATAATGAATATATTTAGCCATTTTATTTAATCAAAATTAATTAAAAAAAAACAGCAAATACTACCATAATTAATCAGAGCTTGATAATACAGACAATAAAATGTCTAATATTTTCATAAATAAGTCATTAATTTATATATATTTTAACATACTTTAACATTTACTAAACTATTTTATGATGTTTTATCAAAATTAAAAGAGGTCTATATTTTCTTGTGCATGTTTTATTTCTTTCTCTTGATATCAATGCAAAATGTGACCCCAGCATGTTTTACAAAAACTCTAAGTAGTCTTTATTTTGGTCTATATTTTCTCAAACAAATGTAAGTGTTTATTTCTTTCTCTTGATTTTAATGCAAAATGTGACTCAGGCATGATCTGTTTTGGGATATTCACCCTTTCTATATGAACTCTAACATTTTTGAAATAGTGTCAGCTCTAATATTTGGCCTGATTTATAAGATTATTATGCTCGGCATTAAAAATTGTTAATTGGCATCAGGGCTGCACGATATTGGAAAAAAATTATATTTCAATATTTGTTCTTCTACAAAATAAATACAGGCACACCAGGCAATTTGAATAGTTAAATCACAATGCAAAACTGTGATTTTCTTAGTTTGCTTTGTCTAATATTTAGTCCAAATATCTGAAAATTCTTAAGTAAAAATATTTTTGTTTTCACCTTCAGAAGAAAAAAGTCAAAATCATAGTTTTTCCTTAAAACAAGCAAAAGTATCTGCCAAAAGGTTAAGAAAAATAATCTTATTTTTGATTGGAAATGTAGATATTTGGACCAGAGATTAGATAAATATTCTAAGAAGTGTTTTATTTTTAATTTTTTTTATTTAATTTTGTAAATCATATAAATTCTGTATAAATAATACAATAAATTAATGTTACACCTCCAAACATCAGATTTTTGTGTCCAATTTCTATCAACTTAAATAAGATGCTCATTTAGATGTAACTATTGTGGATGCGCAAATTGTGATATCAATGCTGAAACGATATATTGTGCAGCCCTAATTGGCATTATTTGCGACTTCAGTGTGTAAAATGTGTGGTAGTTGGTGAGCCTAGTGGTAGCAGTAGCAGATAATGCACATCTACTTTACCACCACTAGAGGGCAGCACATGCATTCTGGCCAACAAAAAGCACATTGACGTTGCTCACAGACATGCTGTTCTCATGTTGTTTTTAATAGAGAGATGACTGCAGTTGCTACAGGAGACAAGTTACCGTTTGCACAAAACAATCTGTCTTAAACTCTCTTTCTGCCTCGATGCCTATAAATACAGATCTGATTTTCATCCAGTGGTATTTTTATCCATCAGATGATTATGATCAAAGAGCCATATTAGATGTGGGCATTTGATATATTGCTTTGTTGGCAACATGGCATGTAACTTATATGTCTAATGTTTAATTGTAAATTTTTATACTGGTTCTGGATTTGTACTGCTGATGAAAGCCTTTTTTTACAGGTACATGGTTTGTTAATTTTACAGTGTGTGATAATTGCATGTGAAGATTTCAGTAATTTTGTTCATTTAAATAAATTGGTTGTTCTGAAAACCAGGCATCCCTGCTGAGTTGTTTTATTTGACATTAATATATGGCACAAGTTCCACTATTAATTTTATTAAAGATATTGTATATGCATGCATACATACACTAATCGGCCACTTTATTAGGTACACCTCTCCGACTGCTCGTTGCTGCAAATTTCTAATTCGCCAGTGATGTTGCAGCACCTCGATGTTCAAACCGAGCTCCAGAAAGAGCAAGATGTTATTTAAGTGCCTTTGAATGTGGCATTGTTGTTGGTGCCGGCTGGTCTGAGTATTTCAGAAACTGCTGATCTACTAGGATTTTGACG